ATTTCAGTTTGGGAAAGTGTAGGTGGTGTCGATACTAAGTTACCTAATAAAAAAAATGTTTCATGAAAAATAACTTTCTAATTTAAAACGCCAATCATGGTAGGACTCTTTCACCAGCTCTGCTTGCTAACTGGTCAATTAGCAAATACGCAGATACCCACTTCAGGGTAAAATTCTTTTTGCTCTGAATGCCATGCGCTTCTATCTCTGCATCTCCATTCCTTTTCCTTTAAGATGGAAACATCACTGATACCTATTGCTCCTGCCAGGTCTGTGCAAAAAGTCTAGAATTTAATCATTAAATAAATATTTGCTGATCACTTACCGTCCTTATGTAGGCAGCTGGGGATAGAGAGATGAGTAAGATCAATTTTTGGCTATCCTGTAGATGGATATCTCACCCAAAATTTCCTAAAAGATTTGCATCCTTTTGACTCAAAGATTCTGCAAATCGTACAACAGCAACTCTCTTGTCCACCATTGTGATACTTACCCCAGAGTTTAGGGAATGAGAAGACACCAGGTGGGACTCAAGGCTGAAGACCATATTCCCTATGCTTAATCGATTTCCTGAAAGAATCTGCTGCTTACTTTACTCCCTTGTTTTCTATCTTGCAAAATGCATGTCCTGCGACATTTTAAGCCTTCAGTTAAGATTAAAGTCCTCTGGAGCAAGCAAAAGAAAACTGACAAATCCTATGAGAACAAAACATTTTCTTTTTTCATTCAAATTGGCTATCAGAGTCTCCACCCCAAAGACCTGGTTCGTGTAAGGTGAAAAGAATGCTATGTGCAATGAGCTTTCGTTCTGAAATTAAACAGTCCTAATAAAAGGAAGAAAATCCATCAGGGTCCAAGGGAGTTGATATGGGAAACTGAGCTGGTTCTTAAGCCGATTCTCCTGTCTTGTACATGATTTAACTGTAGAGAAAATCAATGGGATTGTTTACTTTTTTGCTCAGATTATCTTGATATTTGGTCTGGCAAGAGATCTTCAAGCATTAGGAAATTACAAACTTATATTAATATGTTGAAGAGAAAAATCTGTCAAGTCTCCAACATACCCACGTGCAAGTGCCTGCCCATGACCCTGAGACCCTAGGGGTTATGCGGCTCAACTTTGAGAGCCGTGCCTGTGACTTACTTGATGGTGTGAACCAGAGCAGTGCAAACCCCTCCCAAAGGAGACTCAGAATCCTCTCCTTGACAACTTGAATGATGCTCTTCAGAATCCTGCCTTTCCACTTCAGACACAGAGATCCATCAGATTTTCCAGTGAGAGGCACAGTATCTCCATCTCCAGGTATTATGGGCTGAAAGTGCCCCACTCCCCTCAAAAAAACCCATATGCTGAATACCTCAGAATCTGACTGTATTTGGATATAGGCTCTTTAAAGAGGTAATTATAAATAAGGTGCAGAGGGGAAGACCATGTGAAGCTACAGAGAGAAGGCCATTTTTGGCCAAGGAGAGAGGCCTCAGAAGAAACTAACCCCGCCGACACCTCACCCTCAAACTTCTACCCTCCAGATCTCTGACAAAATAAACTTCTGTTGTTTACGCCACCGAGTCGGTGCTTTGTAATGACAACTCTAGCATACTAGTATACCAAGCAGGCAAACAATAAACTCAATTTTTGGTTGTTGTTTTCTATTTTTCAGCTCTGTGGTTCTTCATATTTTGATTAGCAAAAGCTATGTTATATTACACTATAGATAGTTTAAGTATATATGACTGACACTTAGGAAACATTTGGTAGAATTTTGAATAAATTAAAAACATAGAAATAAAATACATGTACCAAAACTTGGTTAATGGAAAAGTGTTAATATTACAATGAAAAATAATAAGCTATTTAATGATTAGTAATTGGAAACTGACAGACTAACATGCTGAATGAGATGCCTGAGCAAAGTAGTAGTAAAAATCATTATCCTCCAAGTAAGGCAAGTAATTATTTTAATAGGATTGAGAATAAATATTGCAATAAAATTTCCCTCTTTTATATTATTCTTTATTTTGGATTATAGCCTAACAAAACAATATTTTTCAACATATGTATTGCTATGCTGCTTACACTTAAAACATATGTGGGTATAGGGTGATGTGAAAATTTGCCCGAGAGACAAGAAAAAACTGAAATCTGAAATTCTACCTTCTCAGAAACAAAATATGTAATTTCATAAAACACACAAAGCAGAAGTAGAAGTTTTTAACCTGGAAATTTTGAATGAGCTTTGATGTTTTCATGAAAAATGTATGTGTATGCACATGTATATGTTTCTAAGGAAGGGACCTAATAATCTTTTATGTCTCTTAGATAATAGCCACTTCCTAAGATGAAGAACTGTCTACTTAAAACATAACTCTACTTGTTTAAAAAAGGCCTCCACAACTTATCAAGTTTCGATGATAGCTTAGAATTGGAAAATCGGAGATTCACCAAATTCTATGTTGTACAAACACTTGTTAAACATAGCGTCTATAGATTTGGATAGGGATGCGCTGTTGTGCTGGAGATGCAGAGTGTGTGTTTATGAGCATGTGTTTGCAAGATAAATTCCGTATCTGTCCGCCATAACTTCAGTGTGGCCCTGCCCAATGCCTCCAGGCAGGTATCAAATAACAGACAACACAACTTTAAAGCCACAAAGCCCTGAGATATCATCTCCAATTGTTACATTTTACAAAGGGGAAGAAGGGAGATTCAGAAAATGGAAATGTGCAGGGTGAGAGCTGGAGTGAGCAGACCCCTACTTCCCTGATGTCTAGCCAAAGCCCTCTCGCTCATGATGTTAAAGGACTGGACAACCTCTTCCTGCTACCACAGAGAGAAGTGTGTTTTCACTAGACTTCAAGGTGTAATGGCTACCAGGATTTATTCTGTAGGTGAAGGGTCCTCTTGACAGTACTGAGTAAAACAAAGTAGTACAGAATGTTTGCCGAACAGAGTAGTAGGAGATTTGGCGGAGTAGAGGGTGTTTGGTTGTCAGCACAGTTTCTGGAACCAGGACCACCTGCTCACAAGCGCCGGCTCTGTCACTTGCCATTTGTGAGGTCACAAGCAAGGGTCTTAATTTCCTTGTAGAAACCTGTCTCTCCTCTGTAAATTGGTGATAATAATTGTGCCTGTCTCCTAAGGGGTGTCCTGAGATTTACATGAATTAGTAAACACCAGGCCTTTAGAAGAGCACTAGGCTTACAGTACAGAAGGATTATGCTTGGGGTGAGCTCATTCTCTTCTCTTCCTTTCCTCTTAGGTGAAGTCCTCAATGAAGCCTGTTTGGAAGAGAGAAAGAGACCTTTGCAATGACTTTACAAGCTGAACTTCATCTGTCCCCTGCCATTAGTTCTGCCCCCCGCCCAACACAATTCCACAATTCCACATCTAACAAGGGACTCAATGGGACCTGTACTGGAGGAGAAAATACCTTGGTTTGCAGATTAGCGGCGAGTTTCCTGAGCTTATCTTTCTCAGTAATCTTACAGTTCAAAGTATGATATGGCCTAGGATAAGCCTCTCTGGTGTCTTCATAACATGTTAGCCATTCTAAACTTCTTAGATTTTATATAATACAGAGGAAGAAACATAAATTCTTCACTTCTTCTACCTTTATCCTTTTTTTTATCCTTAGCCAATAAGTCTTCAGACCCAAACATAAGAAGGGCAGTTACTGTGCATTGACTGGATAAAAGCCATTCCAACATCCCTTGCTTTCGTCTACAATCAAATTGGGAAAATGAAAACACTCTACCCCCAAATTGCTAGCAGTTGTGGTGACCACGTGTCCTGTTTCTGGCCAGTGAGATCTAAGATGGAGCCTACCAATCAGATGCCTTGGAAAGTTTTTTTTTTATTTTTTTATTTTTTAGATTTTATTTATTTATTTGAGAGAGAGAATGAGAGATAGAGAGCATGAGAGGGAAGAGGGTCAGAGGGAGAAGCAGACTCCCCCTGAGCAGGGAGCCCAACCCGGGACTCTATCCCGGGACTCCAGGACCATGACCCGAGCCGAAGGCAGCCGCCTAACCAACTGAGCCGCCCAGGCGCCCGGAAAGTTTTTTTTAAAGGATCAGGCTCAGATGGCATATTTTTCAAGCCCTTTGCCACCTCCTTATCCTCTTCCCTTTCTTTTTTGCCTGAAACAAAACGATGTCTAGAAGTGAACCCATCATCTTGTGATATCAGGGCAAAAGCCACGTGCTGAGGACAGCAGAGCAAGAAGATAGAATAAAAAACCTTGAATTCTTGATGACACTGTTCAGCTACAATGTCAGCCCTGAAGGGCTGGACTTCTTGGGTCCAGGTCCAAGACCCTTGGACTTCTGCTCTTCTATGAGACAAATAAACCCATTATTCACATTTCATGCTGCTTGTAACCAAATATAATCCTAAATGATATAATAGACATTCTAATTCAATTAACTAAGAATAAAAGGACCCAAAGAAAACAATTATGCAAGATGTGTGCCCTCTCCAAACCACATGCTTTGTAAAGCCTGGCAGAAGTGGGGAAGACAGCAGATGAAAACTTTTTGTAAAGTTATAAAACTTTCTTATGACTAATGTAGGGCATCTGAATGGTTATTAAGCATATACCTCAATATACAAGACATAGTAAAAATAGCCCTGTGGGATCCTACATATGTATGAGGAAAGCTTGAAGTCCCAAGCTGCTTGTCCTATTACTCTGGAGTCTACCTCTTTCTTTCTTTCTTTCTTTTTTTACTTTTAATAATAATTTCTAATCTCCCATTGGTGTATTTATTATGTACTAGTTGTTATTTAATACAATGGGTCTCCTGGGAAGGGGGGAAAAATCAACCTAAAAATAAGAGTTTTCCAGGAATAGAAAGAGATAGTCACAATAGAAAAATACCAGCGGGAAATAGTCTTTATATTATACAGCAATTAAAACTTTCTAAACAAAAAAAAATTGTTTTTAAAGACATATCATAGCTGGAGAACTGGCCAAAACTCAACATGTTTAATGTTTAATGAGATACAGATCAGTGGTAAGAACAAAGGAAAATCCAAGTTGAAGGATTAAATTTCTCTCAAAATCAGTCACTCAAACATGTGTACCTATGTCATAAAGTGTTTCTGAGTTTAACGTATACTCCAGGCATTAATCCCCATCCGGAGAGCAGAAAGGCTTCATTTGCCACATTCCAAACTGAAATAGACTCCTGTACAGCACTGTACATACCTAAGAACAGCTCCTAAAAGTCATTAGCAAAGATTCTTTGTGAGTAGAGAAATCAAAAGACAAGAATCAAAAGGCATAAAGATGTCAACTACCTCTTTCTAAACCATGAGAAGAGTAGATATAGTAATATGCTTATATGGGACTACCTGCAAAATGGTTGCTTACAGCTCCCTCTTGGTGTCATAGGAAGAAAAATCTTCACAATAACATTTTTCAGTTATTTTAAAGCACAGAACATTCACTTATGGCCTACTATGTGCAATTCACAGTGCTAAGGGTTGAGCGTGCCAAGATGGAAAGACTCAGGTCTGATTTTAAGGATTCAATTTAAGAGTTGTATTTTTCCATACAGCACTGTAATTGTAAATAGAGGAATATATATGTGTGTGTGTGTATATGTGTATATATGATATATACATGTATACATATCAAAAATTGTATAAAGATACTATTTTATTAAGTTGAAGGGAAAATAATGTTAATTAAATGTTAATTAAGCTCCTCTTCCCACACCAGGACAGTTATGTCTTCACCTCAACTCCTCATAGAAATCCTGGCCATAATTTCGCTCAAAGCCCCAAACTCCAACTTATACTGATTATATATAATGCACTAAGGAAGGCATTTTGACTATTGCTGATATATATAAAAGTATCATTTTTTTAATGTATTTATTTTGTAAGAAAATTAGAAAGTTTTCTAATCAACTGTAATTTTTTTTAATTTCCTTAGGTATTCCTGATAGACCATTAAATCATCAGCAAAATTAAAATAAAAGCAAAGCAAAAAAAACAACAACAAAAAAAAACTCTCAAAACTTAAATTTGCCCCTGAAAAAAACAATACATTATACGTTAATAAAAAATTTTTTAAAAAACTTAAATTTGCTTTATTTTCCTTTTTCTTGTCTAATTTCTTTCATTGGGCAGTGCTGGTAAAATGGCATCAATGACTGGGATGATAGTGTCATCCTTGTTTTATTCTTGCCCTTAAGGGGAAACCACTTGCAATATCACTAAACAAACAAACAAAAACATAGGCTCAACAACAGATGGACTCTCTAACTTTTCACCAGATGCTAAGGGAGAGAGAGAAGAAGAATGCAGGCCATATGAGTTTGAAATATCTACAAATCCAAATTTCCTTGTCACTCAAAGGTAGGTGGAATTCCAGTAGAGGCAAGCAATTCTATCTGAATGGCCCCTTTTAATCTTCTTTAGCAAATCTGAGTTGGGTCTTAGGGGGACATAGTGTGGTGTGACTAATCTTTCCCCAACAAAATGAAACAAAACTCTTACCATTGACTTACTACATGATTTTGGATAAGTGTAGTACTAATATGTGTAGTACTACTGAATTTATAGTACAAGGTTTTCATGAGTGCCTATGACATGTACAGCTCATGACTTATCCCCATATCTGATCTTTGATACTAACAGCACCTCATCTCCAATAATGTTGTTTGACTGGAGGAATGAATAACCTTTAACTCCTGACCTTGATTGTTTTTTTTTTTTAAGAACTTAGTTGATTTTTTTTCTCTCTCATTGACAGGTTTCCTCTCAAACAGATTAGTAACTCATTATCTAAATATATATTAGTTAATAAGTTGTTGAGAAGGTGGAAGTTTTGTGGCCAGTTTTTAATAGAAGATACCATCCAAGGGCGCCTGGGTGGCTCAGTTGTTAAGCGTCTGCCTTCGGCTCAGGTCGTGATCCCAGCGTCCTGGGCTCGAGTCCTATATCGGGCTCCCTGCTCAGCAGGAAGCCTCCTTCTCCCTCTCTCACTCCCCCTGCTTGTGTTCCTGCTCTCACTCTCTCTCTCTCTCTCTCTCTGTCAAATAAATAAATAAAATCTTTTTAAAAAAAAAGATGATGCCATCTGTAAAACAATTAATTTATAATTTGCCCTACCATTTTGTATTCCACCTTTTTAGGTTACTTAACATGAAAGTATATTACCACCGTAGAAATCACTTGTTACATAAACCGTTTGGTGGTGCTCCTTTGTCATCCCACCAGGTCTCTAATTTATATGTTGAGTGCAGTATATTCTAGTAAAGTGACTAGTTGGGAATGCAGTTATGTGCATTACCTTGCCACTATAATTCTTGAAAATATTGTCAGCTTCCTGAAATGTCAAACAATGCCATTTAAATTCCAGTGTGCAATTTTCACCTTATCTATAAAAGTATCCTGAGACAAGAATTGAGTGGGACCAAAGTCATAATAATTATTTTCTGTAAGTAATGGATAGTGTATAATATATATCACCCTTCCAAAATGTCAGAAAATTTTGCTTTTACTTTGATCAGTGCAGAGTGTAGTTAGAAAATCTGTCAAAATTATTTCATTGACTATGTTACTTTTTGGAGAAGTCAAATTATCGAGGCATTCGAAAGGAGAGAAAATGAGGGTTATAAAGTGCCAGATAGCTGTTTATAAAGCATAGAGAGTCTACTACATTTAAATGATTTAAATCCTGCATTGCACACTAGGAACTCAAGTTCAACCAACAGTTTTATGCATTAATTCTTTGAAAAAAAAAATGGCTTACCTAAAAACTAACAACTGGTTTTCAAAATTGGATTGTAAAGAGCATTGCTGTTCTTTGCTTTGGACCATAAACTAGAAACTAAAACTCATTTACTAGAAGAAAAGGTGAAATTATACATATATTATATGTATAATATATATATATATATATATATATATATATACCTACTTAATTAATGCATTCATTCATTCATTCAGCTAACATAAGCATCTCATATATGCAGGGTCCTGTGCTGAGTGCTAGGGATACAATGTGAGTGAGAAGGACATGGTATCTGCTTTCATGGAGAGAACCCAAAGATAAACAAGTAAACAAATAAGCAAAATAATTTCAGTTTGTTATAAAGGTTACTAAGAAGCTAAACAAGCGAGGATGGATACGGTGACCTACTTAAATACTATGAGCCATGTTGGTATCTAATTTACCTGTTCACCACTTTCTGAAGAGGTGACATCTGTCCTGCCAATGAATTAATTTTTTTGCTAAAATTACTGAGAATTACTTTCTATTGTCTGCAACTAAAGTTTTCTAATTCTTATGCTTCCTAGAGGGGAGAATGGAATACAACCACAAAAATCAGGCAAACCCGGAAATGTCCTCAGTCAAATAGGTAGCCATTATTTTACAAAACCCATGACATTAAAAATAATAACAACTGAAATGGAAGAAAAAAACCTCTCTAGAAAGATCATGATAATTCTGCATTTTAGCAGTGATTTAAGAAAATAAAGACAGCATTTCCATAATTATTCTTAAAAGATGTAATGACACTAATTGAGCATTGATATGCATATCAACTTGAGACAAGGACATAATGAGACACAGAACAGGAATGAAAAGAGAAGGTCCTGAAAACATCTTCCGAAACATGATCCAACTCAGGGGAACAGGGGCTGCAAGGGAGAGGCAAATATGAGCTATTATGAACTGAACACATCATTGACTTCTTCTTGCCTCTAAAAACTAACAGTGATTGCACCAGTCAAAGAAGGGGGGATCTCAGGGATGACTCCTGTCCTAGGCAGGCCATGACCAGAGGAGACTTGATTGCAACATGGGGACAGACGCCTGCCAAGAAGATTTGATGACATAGAAATAAAACTTCCTATTGTGAGTATCAAGAGCCCAGTACCCACATCCAGTAAGTGAACCCATTAGTTGGAGACAATGAGGAACCGAATGGGTATTATTAGGAATCAAGTCAATGAAGGAGAAGACAAACAAAACAAACTTTCCCCAGCAAGGAGAAAGGACAAAGAGACTTAAATGAGAATCAATGATAAATACTAAAGATACATTGAAAAAACAGATTGGAAGGAAGAAATAAAACTCTTTTTTTCACAGATGGCATTGTTGTCTATATGGAAAATCCCCAAAAATCAATAAAAAACTCTTGGAACTAATAATATTAAATTATAGCAAACAAGTATGATAAAAGCTTAATATACAAGTTAATTTTATTCCCATACACCAGCAAAGAACAAATGGAATTTGACATTAGAAACTCAAAAATCAATGGGAAAACAGTATGGAGATTCCTCAAAAAGTTGAAAATAGAGCTACCATACGACCCAGCGAATACCCAAACCAATTGCACTACTGGGTATTTACCCCAAAGATACAAATGTAGTGATCTGAAGGGGTACGTGCAGCCCAATGTTTATAGCAGCAATGTCCACAATAGCCAAACTATGGAAAGAGCCAAGATGTTCATCGACAGATGAATGGATAAAGATGTGGGATATATATATACAATGGAATATTATGCAGCCATCAAAAGGAATGAAATCTTGCCATTTGTAATGACGTGGATAGAACTGGGCCAAATAAGTCAATCAGAGAAAGACATGTATCATATGATCTCACTGATATGAGCAATTCTTAATCTCAGGAAACAAACTGAGGGTTGCTGGAGTGGTCGGGAGTGGGAGGGATGGCGTGCCTGGGTGATAGACATTGGGAAGTGTATGTGCTATGGTGAGCGCTGTGAATTGTGTAAGACTGTTGAATCACAGACCTGTACCTCTGAAATGAATAATATATTATATGTTAAAAAAAAAGAAAATAGTAGGAAGGGAAAAATGAAGGGTGGAAAATAGGAGGGGGAGACAAACCATGAGAGACTATGGACTCTGAGAAACAAACTGAGGGTTCTAGAGGGGAGGGGAATGGGGGATAGGTTAGCCTGGTGATGGGTATTAAAGAGGGCACGTATTGAATAGAGCACTGGGTGTTATATGGAAACAATGAATCATGGGACACTACATCAAGAACTAATGATGTAATGTATGGTGATTAACATAACATAATTAAAAAAAAACCCTAAAAAAAAAAGAAAGAAACACTATGCCATTTACAATAGCACCCCCCAAAAAAGACTATACTAGGTATAAATCTGACAAAATATATATTATATGAGAAAGACTACAAAACTATGATGAAAGAAATCAAAGAACTTAGAAACTAGAGAAATATCCCAGGGTCATGGATAGGAAAACCAATATTATCAAGATGTCAGTTCACACCAAATGT